AAGTCCCTTGGCCCTTAAAGGGGAAAGGTTGCCTACCCCTGCTGTGGAGTAACTTTTTTTCCTCCCAAAGCACAAGCAGGACCTCCTGTTAGTACATTCATGTTGAAAACATGCCAACTCGGAGAGAGGCGTATTTGCTTCCTCCAGTGTGCTCTGCAACCAGGACACTCCATTTGTGTTTCTCTATAGACAGTGACAGCCAAGACATTGATTCATCACACTTACCTCCCGCCTCCACAGATGTGTGTAACACAAACTCTGTTACACAACAGTACTGTGTATATTATATGGCAGCACAAGAATAAAAATACCTAGAGAGCCTTCTGGGATGCCTGTACGATCTTGTATAGGTTGAGTCTCCCTGATCCAAAATGCTTGGGACCAGGACTGTTTTGAATTTTGGAATACCTGTATTTGCATAAATGTACATAATCAGATATCTTGGAGATGGGACCCAAGTCTAAGCACAAAATTCATTTATATTTCATGTGCATGAAACAAATTTTGTGTACATTGAACCACCAGAAAGCAAAGATGTCCCTATCTCAGCCCTCCATGAAAAAAAGTTTTGGTTTTTGGAATATTTTGGATTTCAGAACTCCAGGTTGGGGAGACTCAACCTATAATGCTTTTCAAAAATGTTTAAAATTTGGAATTTTAGTTAACCTTTTTCTTTTCTTTTAATTTGCAGAACACAGTCAATTTAACACAACCAGAAACAAGCAGGAAGAACCAAAGATGAAATGCATGCCGGCCGCCCCAATCCCACCCTGATGCTGTCCTCACCCGTACGTATGGTGTGCGGCGTCAGGATGCCTTCCTGGCGCAGCGTGTACACACGCTGCACCAAAAGGACATGGAAGAGCCGTGGCGCCGGCTCTCAGAATCATAGAATCATAGAGTTGGAAGAGACCACAAGGGCCATCCAGTCCAACCCCCCTGCCATGCAGGAACTCCAAATCAAAGCATCCCCAACAGATGGCCATCCAGCCTCTGCTTAAAGACCTCCAAGGAAGGAGACTCCACCAAAATCTCCGAGGGAGTGTGTTCCACTGCTGAACAGCCCTTACTGTCAGGAAGTTCCTCCTAATGTTGAGGTGGAATCTCTTTTCCTGGAGCTTGCACCCATTGTTCTGGGTCCTAGTTTTTGGGGTGGCAGAAAACAAGCTTGTTCCCTCCTCAATATGACAGCTTTTTGGCAGCCTTCTGCTCTCCCTAAAAGGAGCAGCATTTTGCCGTTCTTTTAGGGTTGGCAAAAGGAAGGATCGGGGAAGCGGCGTGGGGTTGCCGTGGCCCCAATCCACCAGTAGCAGGGGCGACCTAGAGCCACCCGTCTGCATAGCCCCTTACACAGCCAGACCAAAGAGGTCCAGCATCCATTCTTGATTTAGCCATAAAGTTTACTGAATCAGCTTGCTTCTTTCTCTCTCTTGGGATATACTACCTCATGAAAATAAAAATGGAAAACTGTTAAATAGTCCCGAGAAGAATAATAAAAAAGACAGTCCCTTCCCCAACTACTTTTACTAATGTTTACATCAGAAATCTCCCTCTCCCTGGTAACACTGTTTATCCAGGATAGCAATACATCATTACCATTATTTGGCAAAAGCAAAAATGACAGACACCATCAGCATTCCCAAATGCTTACAACTAATGAGAATTCAGACAATTAAATATAGCTGACAATCATGCTAATTAAACTGATGTATAGCTAACAGTAACACACATATTGGACAACAAAAATGCAGAAAATTCATCATGCAAACTTTCAAAGCTTACATGATATATTATCTGCATTTTGGTTGGCCAATAAAGTTATCCCTTTTTTGTTGATTTGGGATTTTGTTGTATTTTGCTGCATTGGCCAACTTGGCTACCCCTGAATATGTTTCCTGAAATACTTTTTTTTTGTTCTTGTGTGCCTTCAAGTCATTTCCAACTTATGGAGACCTTAAGTTGAACCTATCATGGGGTTTTCTGGGGCTGAGAGTGTGTGACTCACCCAAGGTCACCCAGTGGGTTTCCATGGCTGAGCAGAAAATCGAACCCTGATCTCTCAAGTCATAGTCCAACACTCAAACCACTACACCACACTGGCTCTTATGATACACATTATCATCATTCAGTAGGTTAGGGATATAAAGCATGTGGTGATGATAGACATCCACAGGGTTCCTCCTGTATATATTTTAGAAAGAGATACCATTTTGTCAAGTTGTTTTCAACAGCCAGCCAACTGTATTTGATGAAAAACTTTCCCAAGACTTCCCATACCCATGGCTGTATTCCCAGTGTTTGACAAGTTCAGTTTATCATGTGTACCACTAGCAAAATTTTGCTACCAGAACATTCAAATCAACTCTAGCAGAGAGAATGATGCAAGAAACCCTAGACCGTTTATCTTTTTAAAGGCTCCATTTTAATGTGTCGGGTCCAGCAGCAACTTTATAAATGGAGCCCATCTTAATGCAATTAACCTTTAATTGGAGCACAGTGTAATGACACAGAATGCAACAGTGCATTTAGGAGAAATGCAAACTCGAGGCAAACTCAAAATGGGCCAAGAACTTCCAAATGGCAAATACCTCCCTGGCAGGGCAGGCATGCTTACAATGTCAGACATGATCAGATCAAGTCAATTACCATTCACTACTCCCTGGGCTGCTGGTCCCCCTTTTCCCTTCATCCTTCCCTCCCCCTTTTCTAATCAGATAACAAACAGTCTAATAACTGACTGTGTGTCTGTCAATCCAATTATTTCCTATTTGGGATGTGCTGACACTCCATTAAATAAACCAGACAGATGGTGAGATCTTTCATTATCGTTCAGCGGACTGATTAGCTGCTTATGAACAGCATGGGAACAGAAATCAATGTAATCAGGTGTTAGGCATCCGAAAGCTCCAGAGGGCAAATGCCAGAGGGTAAAGGCATCAGTGGAGCCCCACATACCTACAGGGTTAGAATTGAGATCTAAGATCCTCTCTGCTCCCCTCTTAGCACACACCTCCCCCCCATATCGGGGATGAAGGAATGAAGTTGGCTGTTTACCTTTGCAGCTTATTCACATAAAAATAGTGTTTAAAACATCAGACATGTAAACTACCACCATGTGTCCTGTGCTAGAGAAAAGGAAACTAATCTGGAGTGCTGTTTCCAGTTCTGGGCACCGGAGCTTAAGAAGGACGTTGACAAGCTGGAACATATCTAGAGGAAGATGAGCTTGTTGTTGTTAATTGCCTTTGAGTAGATGTTGACCCATGGTGGCCCTGTGGATGAGAGATCTCCAAGACTCCCTGTTCTTTACCGCCCTGCTTAGTTCCTGTAAATTTATACCCATGGCTTCTTTAATACAGTCCATCCATCTAGCATGCAGCCTTCGTCTCTTTCTATTTGAGAGTAGAGATGGTAGAAAGAGTCTGGAAACCAAACCCTATGAGGAACAACGGAGGAAACTGGACACATTAAACCTGGAGAAGAATAAGTAGAAAGATGGCATATGACAGCCATCTTCATGGACCTGAAGGGCTGTCACATGGAAGATGTGGCAAGATTGGTTCCTGCTGCTACAGAGGACAGGAGCCAAACGAAGGGATTCAAATTGTAAGAAAAGAGACTCTGACTAGACATTAGGAAGAGTTTCCTGATGGTAACCATCTCAAGGTAGAGGGACTCTCTTTCTTTGGAACTTTTTAAACAGAAGTCAAATTGCTATCTTACAGGTATACTTTAGCTATGAATTCTTGACCTGGCAAGGGGTTGGTTTTGATAAGTGCTTCCCAAACTTTGGTCCTCCAGATATTTTGGACTTCAGCTCCCAGAATTCCTGACTAACTGGATAAGCTGAGTTCTAGGAGTTGGAGTCTAAATAATCTGGATGACTAAAGTTTGGGAATTGCTGGCCTGGATGTATTTTGGGGTTCTTTCGAACTCTAGAAATCTGTATTTCTATGAACCCTAAATTGTACTGCAGCCTGTGACACTGACAATGACATCCACAACTTTCTGCTCACTGATTTCAGCCAGGACTGGTGTGAAATTTAATGCAGGATTCCCAAGCCAACCTGAGATACTTCTATCTCTTTCAAGTGGTACAGATCTCCTCACAGATTGGAAGGGATGTCTTACAGGCTTGTAACTAGATGATCTGAAAAATGTTATTAAAAATATCTTCTACCATCCAAATTACGTACTTAATAACTGAGGCCAACGTTAACATCTGACTGTCCTGGTTCATATTATCACAAAAAGCAGGGTGGGAAAAGTGGAGCTCCTGAACCATCTTATGCAGTCTCCAGCTCCCCCCAGGATACCATGGGAAGACATAACTTACTAGAAATGACAATAATGCTTGGTAAGGTAGAAGGCAGTAGGAAAACAGAAAGACAGCATTAATGATGGACAGATTTTATCAGGAAAGCCATGACCATGAGAACATGGTAACTTGGAGGTCTCTCATTCATAGGATCACCTTAAGTCGAAGTCAACCTGACAGCAGTAAACAAAACAGCCTCTGCCTCCAGAATCACTTACTAAGGACACAGGAACATCAAAACAGAGAGGAAAGGGAAAAGGAGGTAAGTCAGCAACACCCCCCCGGTCATCTTTTTTTTAAAGTGTTGGTCTATAAACTAGAAATCATGAGAAAAGTGGAGGCTAGTGAAAATAAAAAAATATCCTTGGATGCTTTTTGGAAGATGTTGTAAAGCAATTACTAGAAGGGTTAACACGGTTTTTGTTTGCTTATCTAAGGCTTACCTAACCTGCTTGTTTTATTCCACATGTCTGTTGTGAATTGTGAGTAAAAAAAAAAAAAACACACACAATTTGCTGAATCATATTGAACTACTCTTTTTCTGTGGTGCAGAAACCCATCCTTATTCTTTTTCTGTTATTCGTACCTCTGGCACCAAATTTTCTGTTGAAGAAGTCATGCCCAGGAACACATCTACTTCATTAACTGAGGTATACCTGCAATATCACATCACTTCAAGTTTGCTGGAAATGCATGGATGTGGCCCACTCTGGGTGTGTAAGGGTGAACATTTGCTAGTTCTCGCAGCACAGTGGCCCACTAAAAAACAGAACAAGCCAAGGATTCTCAGTGTGATGGTGAACAATGTCATGTCTTTCAGCTTGTGTTCTACTGGCTCTGAATCAGGCTTCTCTCCTTAAGGTAGAGGTTAATAACTAACTCAATTCTGGGAGTGGATACTGGATGAATTTTATAGTTTTGCCTGCTGTTACAACCCTTTTCACACCTTTGTGGAAAGTAAGGGTCTGTACCTGAAAGAGCACATTCAGTAGAGAAGGAACAGAGAACAAGGTGTGTCTGTGTGTTTGTGTTCATTCTCTACTGAATTTCATAGGGTTTTTGTAGGTAGGGAATACTCAGAGGTGGTTTTGCCAGTTTGTTCCTCTGAAATATAGTTCACAGAGCCTAGTATTCATTGGCGGCCTCCCATTCAAGTACTATCCAGGTGTGCCCCTGCTTAGCTTCCAAGATCAGATGGACTTGGAGTCTTTAGAGCAGGGGCCGGCAACTATGGCCTCCGGGCCGGTTCCGGCCCAGGTCGCCGGACTTACCGGCCCAGGCAGACCCCTACCGCTGCGGTGCGCCGTGGCAGCAGTGTGTTTTCGCCTCCATCCGGTTGCGCATGCCGCGGCCGCCATTTTGATTTTCAAAATGGCGGTCGCGATGCATTTGCGCATGCACAGGAGTACTGCGCATGCGCAAACGAGTCACGGCCGCCATTTTGGAAATCAAAATGGCGGCCGCAACATGTGCGGTGGTGGCGGTGGCAGCACGCGTGCGCGCTGCCATTCCCCCCCCCCCAGCCCAGTGGAAAGGAGGACTTCAGGGGACCGGCCCAGACCTTAAAAAGGTTGCCTACCTTTAGGGTATTTAGGCTCCTGAGAACAAGATGAGTTCACACACAGAAAAAGAAAATTAGCTGATAAAAAAAAAAAAAAGAACAATGCAATACTGTGGGATGGTATTTAAAACTGGAAAGCAAATAATTGTATATTTGGGTATCAATAATCTGTATATCTTCTCATTCAAAGCCATCTCCCAAATTCTGTTGTTTCTGCCCAATCTGGTAAGCAGAGCAAAAAATTCATTGAAGATAAAAGTTTAGCATGAACCAGTAATGGGGGAAAGGTACCATATGGTGACTGTACCAAGTCACAAGTTATTGTGAGAATCAGATGTCAGGTTCCAATCCCTCTATAGTCAGATGGCTCATTTATTCATCTTGGGAATTGTTGTTAATTTTATTTATACATGCCATCAGTATGCTTTCCTTTCAGATCCAGATATCCTACAACTTGATCATGAGCCAGCCTTTTTAAGCTACATCTAAAAAGCTGGGTGACTGAGCCAAGACATATCTACCAAGAAGCAATATTTCACTCAGTGGGATTTCTTTTTTTTTTTCTTTGAGGAGAGGTTGGTGAAATGGTTGTGCATGCACCCATGTTAGGATGCTATTTTTCAGTTGGGAAACTCATTCCCTCCTAGTTATCCAGCAGTAGAAAATGCAGGTTACCATCACAGTGAATGCTTTCCTCTCCAGCATTATGGACTAAGCACTTTACTCAAATGGGTAAGAGTTGGATCAGACACTTAGAAAGGCAGAAAAAAAATATGGCAGAAGACATAGAATCATAGACATGGATTTGCCAAATACATGATCCACCTTTCATTTTAAGCTAAGCTAGATGTAAGCCAAGCATCACTTGAACCTTAACCAGGCTCATTATGGGTTGGCAAAGAAATGTGACCCAATGGCACTGAGCAATATTGCACTTTAAGGAGGGAGGGTGAGTCCATCTAAGGCAAGCAGCTGTGCCCAGCTATGAATGAACAAGGCTTTCCTCCAGCAAAGTCGGGAAAAAAAGCATCCTCAAAGCTTATTGTGTGCCCTAACAAGATGCACATCCTAACAGGTGGAGGTGATGGCAACCCTGGGAGCTGCTACTGGTGTTGTTAACTGCCATCAAATTGGCTTCAACTTGTAGCAACATTATGAATGGGAAACCTCCAAGTCAGTGTCCTTAACAGCCCTATTAAAATCTTGGAGAGGCAGGGCCATG